GAGAGTCAGCTGCACAAAAGGGAAAGGTGGCACCTCAGGCAGAAGAGGTAGTGGGACACGCCCACACAGGCACCTTCAGGAGGAGGCCCTGCTAGGGCCGTAACACTTTTCTTGGGCTGGTTCCCTCTTACTATGTGTACAGCCTTCATTCTCACAATATCATACAATTGATTGTCCCAAAAATCAGAACAGAATTAGGAAAAAGGCTTTTAACTATGCTGTCCCTGTTTCCTGGAATAATCTGCAGAGTGAACTGAAATTATTAGAAATTGTTATCTTGAGGGAGTTTAAGTCCATCTTAAAAGAATGAGAGAACAACACTTAGTAAGTGTGATTGTTTTTGTTGCTCCTAATGATCTGTTATTGTATATTTCTCACATGTTTGTATGGGATATTGTATTTGTTTTAATTGTTATGTACTTATGTGATACATGTATATTTGTCTTTTGCTGCCATGATGCCAGATCTCTCTTGGAAATGGGATTTTTACCTGGATAAATAAAGTACTAGTAATATATTTTAATACATTTTATTGCTCTTCTTTTCTTTCTTTTTCTCTTCCAGTGTTTTTTTTCCTTACCCCTTTCCTCCCCCTACCCTTTTTTTAGTCCATTTCCCTTTTTTCAACTTCCATTTTTTCTCCCTTTTATTCTTCCTTTTTCCATTCATTCTCATTATTCCATTGTTGCTTCCTTAATCCTTCCATGTTTTCTTCAATCACCCCTTTCGTTTTTTTACACTCTTATCTCTATAATACCTTGTTTTCCATTTCCCGACTGTCAGAGGCCATAAGAGGATAATTTTTAACCTTCCTTAAAGCCGTTTCTTTTTCTTCAATCATTTTTTAAAAATAAATATAGATTTACAGTTTTCTTTGACTTCCTGTGCTAAGTGCATTAAAAGAGCAGAAGAAGAACCAGAAAAACTGGATATCGGAGAGAAATAAAAAATATAATCCAATACATTAAATGTCAAAAAGCACCTCACAAAATTTGCAACATGGCGTAACTCAGCTCGTAACCTTAACACGTCGGAGAAGTGTGCGTCACGTGATAGAGCGGCTGTGGCGGGACTTCTCGGCGGTCTGGTTTTTCTAGCTTTTAATAAATAATTATCTGAATCTTGTACCTAGTTTGCTGGGAGTTTGCAACCCTATTAGTTAGGTTGTTTAATATTTCTGCTAAGTACTCTTTAAAATACCAGAATAGGGAGGATGGTGTAGGTTTAAGTTTATGAGATTGATCAGCGTTGCTGAACTATGAAATATTTTGGGTGCAGTGTATTTTTTGCGTACAGGTATAACAGAATAGCTTTGGTGTTTTTTTTTTGTTTTTTAAACTTGTGTATGAACTTATACAAAATGCAAAAATGTTTTACTGATTAAAAAATACACTATATCGGATTCGTCAGATATCCAAATTCATGATATTGGTATCAGACATAAAAAAAAGTGGTATCATCTCTAATCCTAACTATTAGAGATGATACCACTTTAACCTTAACCTTTAACCTTAACCTTTAACCTTTAACCTTAACCTTTAACCTTTAACCTTAACCTTTAACCTTAACCTTAACCACCACCTTAACCCTTTAAGACCTACCATAGAACCAAGTCTGCCAGAGCTTATATTATATTTTTACATGTTCGGGCAGGTCATGGCAGACATGCAATAGTTCATGCTGATGTCTAATCCAACGTAGGAAGAACAGCTGATCGGATCTGAAAAGCGTGTTTCTGGAATATTATGTTTTTGTTGCTGCAAGTGCTTTTTATGCAGTTTTTGCAAAGCTTTATGTGGAAGGAAACTGTGACCTAGGACAAGCTGATGGCATAAGATGTAAGTACAACTCCTCAGGTTTCATATGCAAAAAAAAATTATTGCACTAGGTCACGTGGTTGCAGAGCTACCGGGATGTAAAAGTAGTTGCGCAAAACGGAGCGTGCCCGCTCTGACCGGTTTTAAAGGGTTAATCATGTCAGATAGTGTTTTGTAAAGCGATTACAGTAAAAACAAAAACAAAACAAAAAATGTACATGTGTTGATTCTTTCCAAATGGGTCTCATGTTTCCTCATTTTTCCGAACTCGTAATATAGGGACATGTTGGGTGGCTGTGATGGCCACACAGGGGTAAATTAGTCCATTTTTCACTTTATTAGTTTGCTTTGCAGTTTTCTTCATTAATATAATTCATTAATCATTTGGTTAAACCTAACACTATTATGAGGCGTGCACATAGTAGCATTGTGTGGTTTTTCTAAAATGTTTTGTTATATTAATTATCTTTCTTTGAGTTTTATGTTTCCTGTCTGGGCAAAAGGCATGGCTGAGGACTGTGGGAACAAAATGCCTGCTCAGCAGGACCAACCATGGTTTTACCAGGAGCAGGGGTGTTTTAGGTTTAGTTAGGTTATTCTGTCCATTCATCCATCCATTCGCTTCCGCTTATCCTTTTCAGGGTCGCGGGGGGCGCTGGAGCCTATCCCAGCTGTCATAGGGCGAAAGGCGGGGTACACCCTGGACAGGTCGCCAGTCTGTCGCAGGGCCAACACATAGGGACAGACAACCATTCACACTCACATTCACACATTGAGGCAATTTGGATTATCCAATTAACCTATCCCCACAAGCTGCATGTCTTTGGACGGTGGGAGGAAGCCGGAGTACCCGGAGAGAACCCACGCAAACACGGGGAGAACATGCAAACTCCACACAGAAAGACCCCGGCCTGATGGTGGAATTGAACTCAGGACCCTCTTGCTGTGCGGCAACAGTGCTAACCACCTTGCCAGGTTATTCTGTGCTTAGTTAATATTAGTGTGTTTTTGTTTTCCCCCCTATTGTGTTCAAATGGTTTGGTCAAATCATTATAAAAGCTACCCTCATCTGTCTTTGTAATTAGGTCAGTTTGTGAGTTAAGTTGTGTCTCACTTTGTTTTGTTTAAGTTTCTGGAAATTCTTTTTT